ACATTTTCATCCAGTTGGGGCTGCACTCAAGAGGCTGCCTAGAGCAGACTAAGTTGCAGAGGAGGTGCCAATCTATATTAGTAGAGGAAGTTTCCACACTTGGGAGTTCCCTTTACTATAAAATAACAGGGGCAAGATAAGAGACTTGAGAACTAGATAATGGTAGAGTTAGGCGGATTCAGGACTGGTTGAATGACCAGCTCATAGAGAGTAGTAGAGTTACCATAGAACTGGACGAGAGTAAGTGTCCCAATTTTCAAAAAGTAAAATATAATTGACTCTGCAAACTGTAGTCCTGTGAACTTGATTTTAATTCCTGAAAAAATTCTAAAATGGGGTCACTAAAGAGGTGGTTCTAGCCTCACAAAATTTTTTTTTTTGGATCCTGACTCTGTCATCCATTGGGTCTATTATCACAGCTTTGTGTCATCTGCAAATTTCATTGACATCCTTTATCCAAGTTATTAACAAGAATGGCAGATAGCATAGGACCAAGGCACAGATCTCTAGGATATTCTGGAAACCTCCTTAAGTTGACGTCAGCTCATAAATAACCACTCTTTGAGTCCAGCCATTCAACCTCTTTCAAATCTATCCAACTGTACTCTTGTGTAGACTACATCTTTCCATCTATTCCAGAAGAATAGCATGAGAGACTATTAAATTCTTCACTAAAATTAAGGTGAACTATCGACAGCATTCTCTTGATCTTAGTTGACTCAGTTGAAGATGACACCATTTTCCCCATGTTCTGGGTCCAAGATGACTTGCATTTCTAGCCCTTATTTCTGTTTCCTGAAGTTGACTTTTTGAAATTCAACATATCACTGCATTTTTCCCCCATCTTACCACTCCCATGTCCAATCAATGCACAGTTATAACAAAAGCTACATCTGTTATTCTTTTGTTTGTACTGGGACTATGCCAACTGGAATGGTTTGGTCTGCTCAGAGTTGATATATTTATACTTTTGACCCTACAATCTGAAGTGTACTCTCTTGACTTCTGTAGCGCTCACATGGATTGATGTTCTGAAACTGATCTTGGTTGAGTTTTCAACATAATCAAACTGATTATTTCTAATGATTTATCAAAAATCAGCATCTTTCTCTCTTAACCAAGTCCAACATTAAAGAAACAACTTATTTACATATTTTTTAGAAATATGGCATTCCCACATAAAGGAGTGAGAATTAAGTGAGATGTGTATAATGTAAGCTCTTATATACTACCACACAGGGGGCAGGCAAGTCAGCCTAGCTGAGAAGCAGCAAGGGACCAAGTGGGAGAGATAGAGGGCAGCACGTGCCAGGCATATCAAACCCCCACTACCACCCTGACCACCTTTTCCTCTCAGATCTTGATGGTGACAGCCCAGGACCCAGAGCCTTAGGAATATAGCATTGCTTCCAGCCTAGTGCCCATGGCTATCATTTTGGGAATCAATTCCTGTGCATATGGCCTGGCAATTGCTCCTGCAGGTGATACAGCCATAGCTACTGAAGACCCAGAAAAGTTCTTGTCAACAAAGTCCTTGGCACTGTCAAATGGGTCAACACCAGAGACTGGTATTTTGTTAGTGGGAATGACATCAAAGTAGAGGCATTGCCATTGGCTTTGCTGTTGAACCCTGAAGAACATATTTTCCATTTGACTTGGCAGCTTAAACCCACCATATGTGTTTGTCTTTCCAATTGGAAAATGAACTCCTTGAAAGCAGGGACTGTCCTACTTTTTTATTTGTATCCCAAGTGCTTTGCACATAGTAAGTGTTTAATAAATGCATACTGAATTTTAACAATAGGGTTGTATTTAATGATTGTCTGAAACTCTGTTTCCTCAGCTGCAAAACAGGTAAATATACTCTCATTGCATAATTTACAGGGTTATTAATATTATTATCATTACAGGGTTATTCACAAAGGAAAACCCTTTGTGAAAATAAAACCCCTTGTAAACCTTACAGCACTACATGCACATGAGTTATTATTTTTAAATTTTTTATTTATTTTATTCTGAACTTAAGAAATAAAACAAGCATTTCCGTAACATAGAATAGAAAAAATGGTTGTACGTCAAACTGCAAATCTATTATGTACAACTTGCTATTCTTTTTAAATATATAATAAAGTTATCATGTAACTTTCTTTTCCCCCCCTTTTTTCTTCCCTCCCCCACGCCCTGAGATGGCTACCGTTAGGCACAAATATATGTGTGTGTATGTGAAACCATTCTATACATACTTTATTTATCAGTTCTTTGGATGCGGATAGTGTCTTCCTTCATATGTCCTTTGTAGTTAATTTGGGCATTAAAATAGTCAAAATGACTTATTCACTCAAAGTTATTCTTAAAACTATATTGTTGTTGCTGTATACAACATTCTCTTGGTTCTGCTCATTTCACTCTTCATTATTTTGTGCAAGTCTATCCATGTTTTGCTAAGATCATCAAGTTCATCATTTCTTATTGCACAGTAGTATTCCATCACAATCATATGTCACAACTTGTTCAGCCATTCCCCAATTGATGAGCATCCCTGTAATTGTCATTTGTATTACAGAAAGATTTCCTGAATGCAAATTGTGATAGTTGAAGAGAGAAATGTGGGAACTGGAAAAGTTGCCACCATCTTCCTAGTGTTTGGGGAAAGTTTCCTTCCTATGGCAGGAGGAAGATATAGCAAATCAGAATAGGCAGAATGACTTCAGGTAATTTGTTGATTGTTGAAGACTTGTGAAATTTGAAAGGGAATGTCCAGGTAATAAGATGAAATTTGAAGTTGTACTTATATATATCCAAATTTAATATTCTAAAAGGCAGGGGCAGTAGGAGGCAGAGATTTTGATCTAGTTATTTGATCAGGGACTTAGAAAGAAAATTGCAATGCTTTTACACTTAGGGAATATCAAACCCTTTCAATTTAGGGCAGTGGAATTTCTGCAATTTTTACAGCAGTTGAAATAAAGATGATGGTACTTTTCAAAGTTCATCTATAATAGTCCCTTCAGAGTTTGAAAGTATTGCCCATAAAATAAAGTTACCAAATGTTTAAGTACCTACTATGTGCCAAGCAATGTACTAGCCACTTGAGAGTAAATTTGAAGTTTAGATTAGACACTCAGTCCTCATGGAGCTTTAACTTGCATAGAGAAAGGGACATGGTATATACATGCGTAAGTATAACACTAAAACAAAGTAATATCCAAAAGTGAAAGGTTAGTGGAGACTTAAGAAAGGATTGTAGATCTAGATCTGAGAGAAACCTCAGAGAACAATCCCATTCTTTTACAGAATCTGAAGCAAACAAGGGCAGTCAGATGGAGAACAAAGGACATAGGCCATTGGACAAACTAATACAGTCTTTTAAGGATAGAACAGTGCAGTCTTTTAAAAAAAAGGAAAAAAATTGCGGAATAGACATTGAAAAGTTAATTGTGATAAATGTTGAAGAAGACATGGGAAAATTGGAACACTAATGTATTGTTGGTGGAGTTGTGAAATGATCCAACCATTTTGGAGAGCAATTTGGAACTATGCCCAAAGGGCTATAAAAATGTGCATACCCTTTGACCCAGCAATAACACTTCTAGGGCTGTATCCCAAAGAGATCATAAAAATGGGAATAGGACCTACATGTACAAAAATATTTATAGCAGCTCTTTCTGTGCTGGCAAAGAATTAGAAATTGAGGGGATGCCCATCAGTTGGGGAATGGCTGAACAAGTTGTTGTATATGAATGTAATGGAATACTATTGTGCTGTAAGAAATGATGAGTAGGCCGACTTCAGAAAAACCTGGAAAGACTTGTATGGACTAATGGTGAGTGAAGTGAGCAGAAACAGGAGAATGTTGTACACGGTAACAGCCACATTGTTCGATGACTAACGTTGATAGACTTAGCCCTTCTCAGCAATGCAAGGATCTAAGACATCTCCAAAAGTTGCGTGATGGAAAATGCTATCCACATCCAGAGAAAGAACTATGAAGTTTGAATGCCGATTGAAGCATACTATGCTATTTCTTTTCTTCTGTTTTGTTTTGTTTCCTCTTTCTTGTGGTTCCTCCTATTAGTTCTAATTCTTCCTTACAACATGACTGATGTGAAAATATGTTTAATAGGAATTTATATGTAAAGCCTATATCAGATTGTGGGCCCTCTTGGGGAGGGAGGGGGGTAGGGAGGGGGAGAAAATTTCAAACTCAAACGCTTATGGAAGTGATTGTTGATAAATCAAAATAAATTAATAAAAGAAAGGAAAAAAAAGAAAAGTTAATTGCATTTCAAAACAAGAGTAAACATATTCCCTTTAACGAAAGACCAGACTAACTAATTTATTTCTTGTAATAAATGAAGGGGTTTTAATTTTCTGGATTAAATCCTAATGAGTTTCATAAGACTTAGAGGTTAAGTAGCTCCTAGGTAAGTGTGGGCGGACCTATTTGAACCCAGATCTTCCTGATGTCCGGCCCCGCACTCTATTCACTACACCACGCTACCTTTTAGATCTCATACTCTGAAACGAAGAGAGCTGGTTGTTAAATTTACAGTGGAAACATTTACACCTTGGGAATCAACAAATTCTGCAAATCAGAGTTTGATTTATTGTTTTGTTGATTGTCTAGCCCAAAGAAAATGATTGAAAAAACGTTAATAACCGCAGATTAAACTTAAAAGTGTGTTGTGCGCATTTTTTTTTCCTTCGGAGACCTGGTTGTTAAACATTTACCAGGACACCCAGTGTTGGCAGGCTTCTCAGCTCCTCCCACTTACTCAGACACACTGAACAACCTGCAGGGTGTCTGGGGAGAAGAGAGGAAGAACCAAACGCGAAGGAGGTGGGGCTAGCCTCTGCGAAGGGGGAATGGGCCAATCGACGGAGACGAGCGGCGGACCAGCCAATCTGCTCTCTGAATAGACCTTGCCCCGCCCCCTGGAGGACCCGCTAGCCTGACGGTTGTATCCCAGCCTGAGCAAAGCATCTTCTAGGTCGCTTGGTCCCCGGGCCCGCCGCTGTCCCCGGTCTTCCCCGCAGTGCCGGTGCCTTGGAGCGAGGTTAGTGCTGGTGTCCAGTCCCTCTGTCTGGCCCTCAGAGGTGCTGCGAGAGCCTCTCCCCATTCCCCTCCCCGGTGCGGCCCAGCATGGGGCCGGCGGTGGGAAGGGCCTGAGATCACCGGGACAGCCCCGGGCCAGCTTGGCTCCTGCCCCACGACACCGGCGAGGTGGACTTGGGCCGTTACCCGAAGCCGGGGCGGGGGCCTGGGGAGGAGGGAGCGAGGCTTGAAGAGGGACGGAAAGCCCGAAGGTCTTCCCCCGCCCCAAGCTGGGCCCGCACTTCCCGCACTGTACATAGCAACAATTGCTAGGGGGATAGGACGCATCTCCTTCCCGTAGGTCGGCGCTGGCGGGGCTGGTGGGGAGGCTGGAGGTAGGTAAGTGCGCTCTCTCGTTCTTTGGGTGGATGACAGACACCTGTAGTTTGTAGAAGTGGGGGCGGCGGGGCAAATACGACCCAACTCTGTAAGCATGAAAGTGAAGCAAGGGTTTCCATCCAGGGAACTAGAGATCTCGCAACCCAAAAGAAGAAAGCAGATAAGGTAAGGTAGAACCTTATCTTTGGAGCAGGGATAAACTTGTCGACTTCCTTGTCCGAGAGTGCGGGCTCTACTGAGTAAGCACGGAAAAAATTATTTTTAATTCAAAATCACACCTTAAAATCATATTCAGAATGACATGCATATAACTATCATGAGAAATTTATCCATTCATTCATTGCTTTGCCCTATAATTAGTTTTATAGAGAGCTTTAACTTATGCAAAGTGCTTTTCATTTCTCTCTCCAGAGGCAGAGACCTTTTTTTTTTTTTTCATCATCACGAATCCCTTGGAATTCCCTGAGATCACTGTATTGATCAGTCTCTCACAGTTGGTCATTATTATAACATTGCTGTTACTGTGCACAACGATCTCAGGATTTTTCTCACTTCACTTTGCCTCAGTTCATATAGGTCTTGCCATGTTTTTCTGAAACCACTCCCTTGGTTGTTTCTTTCTTTTTTTTTTTTCATCTAATTCATCAATTTTATTTTATACTCAAGGATTTTTTATTTCTTTTTTGGTTATTTCTCATAGCACAATAGTACTTCATCACAATCATATGCCACAACTTGTTCAACCATTCCCCACTTGATAGTCATCCCCTCAATTTCCAATTCTTCACCACCTCAAAAAGAACTGCTGTAAATATTTTTGGACATATAGGTCTTCTTTGCCTTGGAACTTCCACCAGGGCCTCTAGCTCCCTTAGGACCCACCACAAGCACTCCCAGAACTGTGTACAGGTAATAGACTTGCCAATCAGTGCCAGCTGCACCCTCTGCCAGCAAAGAGTCCCCTGTAATCTCTTTCTGATCAGTTGTCTGACCCCCTTACCATCTTTGGGTTGAGAGTTCCCAAAGCTGGTTCTGTTGCTGAGATCTCCAATGCCTGCTGCTAGTGCTGGTCCCTACCCCAGGGTCACAGACCTCTCTTGTCTCCCTCCTAAGTTTTCCTAGGCTGGAAAAATGTCTCCTCCTGACCTTTTGTTGGCCTACCACTCCAAAATTTGATTTGAGGCATTATTTTAAAGTTGTTTGGAGGGGAACGTTGAAAGAGTTCAGCTGGATTGCAGCATCTAATCTTCCATCTTACCTCCACCTCTTCCACTTTTCTTTTTTAAAGAAACGACCTACTTTCAAGGACCCTATATGTTGAGAGGGGAGGAGAATAAAAGAAAATAAAGAAGCAAAGCAACACTTATCTGTAGGTAAGTATACCTTCACATTCAGTGTTTCAAATTTTTTCCTTTAAAAATCATTGCTGTCAAGAGCTGGTAATATTAATATTATCCTACTGTTCTATTCTCTTGCCATTTAAAAATTTTAAATTTATATAAACTTAATTTTATTCTAATAAGCCTTAAAAGATAATAACTAACATTAACATTATTATAACATTATATCCTAACATTTTTATAATATTGTATCCTAGAGAGTAGTCCAAGTATACAAGCTTGCTTGCAAATACTAACTTTAAAAAATATATATTGTATATATGCATATATAATACATATGTATATTTTTAAATAGTGTTCTTGAAAGTTGTACCTTCAGACTTGTCTTGATGAGTCAGGAAAAAATGAGAATAACATGGAAAATATTCTACCTTCTTTTACTAAAAATAGAATGTGGATATTATTAGCAGAAATTCTTTACTACCATAATGATGCTACACAGTAGAGAGGCATTTATTTTTATTTGGTCAATATGCATTTACTGGATAGGTGCATACTGACTGATTAAGGGTCTTCACTACTTAGACTGAAAGTAAGACTCTATACTAGGCATTGTGAGGGCTGTAAAGAGGTCCCCTGAAGGAGTCAGTCAGTAAACATTTATTAAATACCTCATACATCCGAGGCATGGTGCTAAACTCTAGGAATAGGAAGAAAAGCAGAAGATAAGTCACTGATCTCAAAGATCTCAAAGTCTAATGAAAGAGAAAAAAATGGAAACAACTATGTAAATACAAGATAGCATATGGGACAAATTAAAGATCGTCTCGGGGAAAAGCACTAGAATTAAGGGTGATTAGGAAAGGCTTCCTGTAGAAAGTGGGATTTTAGGGGAACTTGAAGGAAACCAGGAGGCAGAGAAGGAGGAGGAGGAAGGAGACCATGGGAGACAGCTAGAGAAAATGCCTGCAGTTGGGCAATGAAGTGACAGCAAGGAGTCCAGTGTCACTGCCTCAAAGAGTACAGGAGTGGGGAGAGGGTAAAAAGCCTGGGAAGGCGGAGGGGGAAAGGGTTAGGTTCTGAATGCGTTTGAATACCAAACAAAATTTTATATTTGTTCCTAAAGGTGATAGGGAGCCTCTGGAGTTTATCAAGTAGGAGAGTGACAAAGTTAGAGCTGCACTTTAGGAAAATTACTTTAATGGCTGAGTGGAGGATGGATTGGAGTGGGGAGAGACTTGAGGCAGGGATACTAACTAACAAGCTATTGAAATAGTCCAGGTATGAGATGATGAGGGCCTATGCCTGATGATGGCAGTGTCAGAGGGAATAAACATTTATATAGTATTTATAATATGCCAGGCACTGTGCCAAATGCTTTATATTGTCTCATTTGATTCTCACAACAACCCTGTGAAGTAGGTCTTGTAATTATCCCCATTTTACAGTTGAGGAAACTGAAGCAAACAGAGATTAAGTGACTTACCCAGGGTTCTCACACAGCTAGTAAGTGTCTGAGGCTAGATTTGAACTCAGGTCTTTCTGACTCCAGGCCATCACTTTATCCACTGTACCACCTAGCTGCCTTCCGGGTCTATATTTGAGAGATGTAACAAAGGTAAGATCAACAGAATTATCAACAGATTGGATTGGGGTGGGGCAGAGTGAGAGAGAGTTAGGAGTTGAGGATGACATTTTGATTATGGTCCTAGGTGACTGGAAGATGATGGTATCTTGGACAGTAATAGGGAAATTAGGAAGAGAGGAGGTTTTGGAAGGAAAAGATAATGAGGTCAGTTTTGGACACATTGAGTATGTGTTGTCTAAGGAACACACAATTCAAGATGTCTCATAGGCAGTTGGAGATGCAAGAAAAGAGATCAGCAGAAAGGTTAGGGCTGGATAAGTAGATTTGAAAATCATCAGCAAAGAGATGATCATTGAATCCATGGAAGTTGATGACATCATCAAGTGAAGTAGTATAGAAGGAAAAGAGAAGAAGGCCCAGATCAGAGCCCCATGGACCACCTATGGTTTGTGAGCATGATCTTTGTGAAGATCCAGCAAACAAGAATGAGAAGGAGCAATCAGATGGATAGGAGGAGAGCTAGAGAGAGTAGAGTCCTGAAAATCTAGAGAGAAAAGGGAAAAAGGGGAAAGCAGATGATCAACCACATCAGAGACTACAGAGAGGTCAAGAAGAATGAGGATTGAGAAGAAGCCATTGGGTTTGGCAATGAAGGGATCATTGACAACTTTGGAGAGAGCAATTTTGGTTGAATGATGAGGAAACCAGACTGTAGAAAATTAAGGAAGGAGTAAGAGGAAAGGAAGTGGTGGTATCTATTGCAGACAACCTTCTCAAGGAGTTTAGTCACCAAAGGAAGGAGAGATGTGGGACAATAGCTAGCAGGGATGGAGGGATCAAGTGAGAGTTTTTTGAGGATGGGCGGAGACATAGGCATGTTTATCAACAGTAGGGAAATAGCCAGTAGATAGTAGATAAGGAGAGATTGAAGATTAATGGGAGAGTGGAGATGATAGAGAAGGAGCATTCCTCTGGAGAAGACTGGATAGAATAGGATCACTTGTGCATGTAGAGGGTTTTGCTTTGGCAAAGAAGATCCCCCTCTTCATGTGAGACAAAGGTAAATGTGGCACATAGGTGATGTGAGATGGAGGAGGAAAGAAGAGGGAACTCTCAGTGAATGGCCTTACTTTTTTTCAGGAAAATATGGGGCAAGGTTCTCAGGTGAGAAGGTGAGAGAGGAGTGCCATGGGAGGTTTGAGGAAGGATGAAAAAGTTTGCAAGAGCTACTGCAGAGAATGGGATAGTGGCTTAATTAGGAAGGTGGGAAGGGATTGCCTAGCAGCAGCAAGGCTCCAGTAGAAGCTGCACAACATAAATGTGTGGTGGGTCTAGTCAGCACAGCTTCACAGTTTTCTTCAGCTTTGTTCAGTAGCACGTACATGGAAAGTGATCCAAGGCTGAAGTTTTTAGCAGGGCAAGATCAGAGATCTGATGAGGGGGGAAAGAACTTAAGAGAAGGGGACAGTAGAGAGTTGAATTGGTTCACCAAAGGATCAAGATGGGTAAGGGAGGAGAATGTAACTAGTGCGGGAGGAACGGCCTGGGAAAGAACTGAGGGGTCAAGGGATTGGAGTTCATGGTATGGATAAAGAACAGGGTTTGAAGGCAAAGAAGAAATGAAAGAAAAATATTTTGTAGTCAAGTAAGGGAATTTCAGAGTCCATGAGCATGGAGGTGGTGCATTTGTGGCAAGATCAAAGGTATGACCATCTTTGTGTATGGCTGAGGTGGGGTAGAGGAGTAGCTTATGTGAGATGAAGATGTTGATGAACTGGAATTTTATGGTGCTTGAGGGCATTTAAATATAGATGTTAAAGTCCCCTAGTATGAAAGCAGTAAGAGAGAAAAACCAGTGCCACAGTCATAGCCCCATCTCAATCCCCCTCCCTTCCCCCTTGTCACTTTGCTCTTATCATGACACCTCTGTCATGGGAGGCTGACAGCTTGCTCAGCCACTGAGACTGCTTGAATTTGTGCTGTCTACTGCACCAATGCCTGCCTTTTCCCTCCTAGGTTCCTCACCCCACCTCCAACCATTTAAAAAAAAAAAACACAGATGAAAATATACTTACGTATGGTTCAGGCAGAAGTATACAAATTTTATTTTGTTTCCCTCCCTTCCCCCGCTTCCTCCACCAAGGAAAATGAACCTCTGAGTATGTACTATGGAAAACAAATGCTTAACAGGAACACAAAAGATGCAAAGATAGCACTTACACACCTCCAAACTGATTCAAGTCACCAGGTCTAGATAAACCATATTCCAGTATGCTGAAAGAATCTGTGGATGTGATTATTGTGCAGTTATCAATGATCTTTGAAAAATCATGGATGGAAAAAGGGAAATGTGACACAGGACTGCAGATAAGCAATTGTTTTCCAAATTTTCAAAGAAGGAAAGCGAATTTTTACATCTATAGATTAGTGAATTTGCCTTCGACTTCCGGAAAAATTCTAGAACATATTATTAAAAGGATGGTTGGTGGGCACTTAGAAACTGAAACAAGTATTCCTATAAGCCAGCATATTTTTGTCAAGAACAAATCATATCAGATTAACCTCTTTTCCATTTTTGATAGGGTTATCAGCTAGACTGGTAGATGCCAGGAATGCTAGAGACACATTCTACTCAAATTTCAACAAGGCATTTGAAAAAGTCCTCATGATATATGGATGTGCAAGTCAGAGTGATGTGGGTGGAATCCTATTACAGTTAGGGGGATTCATAAATGGTTGAATGGCCAGACCCAAGGAGTGAGGCTTAATGGATTAATGTCAATTTGGAAGCAAGCCACCACTGGAATGCCATAGATTTCTGTGCTTTGCTGATGCTTTTCAACCTTTTTATTGATGACTTAAATGAAAGCAAAGATAGCATACTTATCAAAGAAACATGAAGTTGGAAGGGAGAGCTGACGTATTGGATGACTAAATCAGAATACAAAAAGATCTCAACATGGTGGACCAACGTCCCTAATAAAATTTAAAAGTAATTATAATAACTATAAAGTTCTGTACTTGGGTTCAAAAAATCAGCTTCACTAGTACCAGATTGGAGAAGCATAGCTGGACCACAACTGGTCGGAAAACAACCTAGGCATTTTAGTGTATTGTAAGCTCAATTATGCATCAACAGAATGACATTACAACCAAAAAAGCTAATGTAATCCTGGATTATCTAAAAAGGGAAGGGGAGACAGGGAGGGAAAAAGCATTTATATACTGTCTACTATGTGCCAGGCACTGTGCCAAGTGCTTTTTACACATATTACCTCATCCAATCCTCACAACAACCCTGCAAGGTAGGCGCTGTTTTGTCCCCATTTTGCAATTGAGGAAACTGAGGCAAACAGAAGCTAAATGACTTGCCCCAGGGTCACATAGCTAGTAACTGTCTGAAACCAGATTTGATCTCAGGTCTCCCTGACTTTGGGCCCAGTGTGCCACCAGAATGAGGAAGTGGAGTTTACCGATAATCCTTCTATTCTCTGCCTTAATCGTACCGCCTCTCTAGTATTGTGTTTGATTATGGGTACCATACTAAGAAAGATATTGGCCAATCTGGAGAGACGGGTATCCAGAATGACAGGGGGAATAGAGACCATGCCACATGATGATTGAAGGAACAGGGGTATGTTTTAACTAGAAAAGAGAACATGATAGCTATTTTCCTGTATTTTATGGATAGTCATGTGGAAGAGGGTTTGAACTTGTTCTTAGAAGCCAAAAGTAGTAGCAGTGGATGAAATTTGCAGAGAAAACAGAAAAAGGCTCCATTTTAGGTAAACTTCAAAGGTTAGAGTAGTTTAAAAGTAGAATGGGGCATACCTGGTGCTAGTCAGTCTCTGCACATGGTAGGACTGCAGAGCAGATGATGGCTGGATAAATATGGGGGAGAGGGTGTGGAATTCCTACTCAGTTTTTAGATTGAACTAGTTTTTCTCTGAGATTTTTCCCAGTCTAAGATTCTGTGATTCAGCAGAGGGAAAAATTATTTGGGCTGGGCCCTGAATATCAACTAATGTCATCTAGGATCTATCGGGCTACATCCCTTGCTCCAATAATGTATCTGTGGCCTTTCTCTGACGTACCAAACAAGTTGGCCTGTCTGCAGTCAAAATCAAGTTAGCCTGACATGACTTATTCTTATTAGATTCCTGCTGGATCTTAGTGATCCTTGCTTCCTTTAGGTCCTGACAAAACATTCATTAAATAATTTCTTTTACAATTTTGCTGGAGATTAGTCAGTCAATAAACCTGTCTAAAATGTGCTGAATCCTGGGGATATAAAGAAGGGTGAAAGGCAGCCTCCCCCTCTCAAAGAGCTTGAAGTCTAATGGGGGAGACAACATGAAAACAAGGCTAGAGTTAAGATCACCAAGAAATTGGACAAACATTTTAACAAAACTGTAGTATTTTAGAGCTAAAAGGCACTTTGTGATCATTCACTTTAATCTCCAGTTTTCTGAGGATGAACCTGAAGCTTGGAATGTCTGTTTCTGGAAGATTGAGGCTATCTGAAGAAGTGGCCTCAATTTGCTATTTCAGAATGTCCTTATCTTCACCTATACTATAAGAGCCTCTTTCCCCGAGTTTTGATCCTAATATATTTTTTTCTTTTCTCTCAGTGCTGTCTACTTTGGCAATCATCCCCATGCCTGGCTTCTATTACTATTTCAAAGAGATATTTCTTTATTTTTAGCCTCAGTTCTCTCCTAAGATCCAGATCCACATTTCAAATAGTCCACTGATATCTCCATCTGGATGTTTAGGTGAAGCTATAAGCAAAGCATTTCATGGTGTCATAAAATATTAAGAGCTGGGAGGATCATAGGGTCATAGATTTAGAACTGGGAGGGAACTTAGAAGATCTAACCCAATTCCTTAATTTTACAGATGAAGAAACTGAGGCCTGAGAAGGGGAAGTGACCTACCTAAGGTCATCCAACGGTTAAGTATCAGAGCTAGGTTTGAAACCCAGATCCTTCGACTTCAAACCAAGGCCATATAGCTAGTTAGTAGCAAAGCTATGGCAGAAACCCAAGTCTTCTGACTTCCATCACTAATAAAAGATTTTTAGCTTAATGTGGTGTGTAAAATGTTAAGTCCAATATGAGTGCTAACCTATATTTTTGGAGAATAGTGACAGTTTTTCTCTATTATTAAATATTATAGCTATGACTGATCAAACACCTTCACTTTGGAGCTTCGGAACAACAAAAACATTTCAAATTCCCATTGAACATCTGGATTTCAAATTTGTTGAAAAATGTTCAGATGTTAAGCATTTGGAAAAGATTCTTGTTGTACTCAGGTAAACATTTTAAAAAATTTCAATTCTTTATAAACAGTATGTTAATTAACTTAATTAGTTGATTCTTTTAAATTTTACTTTGTGTAACATTTAAATGACATTGGTTTAAGATGTAAAAATCTTAACATGTTGGAAAACTTTCAATTGTTTTGATAGTTAGGATTGTTTTCATATACATCTTAAGTCTCACCAGTGAGCTTACTACGTGTATCTCTATAGTTCTGTTGAAAGTGCTTATGACCTATTAACAACTTTAGAGTTAGGTCAATTTGAACTTGTTATGTTTTTCTGAGGGAGGGGGAAATAGTAGTGTATATACTTGCCCAGTAGCTGGACATTATGAAAATGTAGCCAATCTACTTTGCGGAGATCCCTTGATACACAAATGTCCTTATCAGTCATCCCAAGAAAAAGAAACATAGAGTAGTTGACTAGCCAACTGATTATGATGGAGGCGAGTGAGTCTTGATGGAATGAGCTAGAAAATGACCCATGTGTTATTTTGGAAGTGAGGGGACCAGGGCCAGAGGGAGAAGGCAAGAGTCATATTGATCCAAGGTAGTCATTCTCAAACTGCTAACAGATACCTCTCTGGGATTTCCTAGGGAGATTGAAGGGTATCTAGAGACTGAAATTAAAGACCTGTTTTCTTTCTTCTACTTGGTCAACATTACTGGCACTATTACGTTCCATCCACCATTATAACTTTGTCATTGGCCCATTCTTATCTTTTAGCTCTTCCTTGCCATCTCTTTTTCTCTACCATGGCATCTTCTTCCCCAAGGTTATAACCTTAAGTTTATTGGGGGGTTGAATGATAGAGCAGGGAGAGAGAGGACAAATGAGTTGCTGTGGTCATTTGGTGACAGAACTCCCCTCCCCCACCCCGCAACACACACACACACACACACACACACACACACACAC